TAACCTTTATCTATGGAGTGATTCAACAGTGACATTGGATTGAATTAGAACACCTCCTAATCAGCTGAAAACTTTCGTAGCCAACAGAGTGGCTAAAATACAACAGTTAACTTTAGCAGCTACGTGGTATCATGTGCCATCAGCGGACAATCCAGCCGATATGCTATCTAGAGGTGTACCGCCGCATATGTTGATTAACAATAAACTCTGGTGGGAAGGACCATGTTGGATCACGAAAAAAGAAGATTGGCCTGAACAGTCAAATAATTACATGACCGATACATCAGAAAGAAAAGCAAGGACGGTAATGACAATATCGTATACGCCGCCAGGTATTCTAGTAAAGTTTTCATCATACAATAAGTTGTGTAGGGTGATAGCCTTTTGTCTCAGATTTATCGATTCCTTGAAGAGAAAAGGAAAAAAGGGACCGCTGCATGTTGATGAGTTGCATCACGCTGAAATTTCAATTGCATGGATGATACAAAGGGAAACCTTTTTGCACGAAATCAAGAGATTGGAAGCAGAGTTGCCTGTCAAGAAAGATAGTAAGCTCGCAAAGTTAGATCCGTTTCTGGATAAGCAAGGATTGATTCGCGTAGGAGGACGTTTGCGACATGCGGATATCGCAGAAGATCAACGACACCCAATAATATTGCCAGACAGGCATCATGTAACTACGCTAATTTTGAGAAACGAGCACAGTCGACTGTTGCACTGCGGACCAGAACAATTGATAAGTTCAATTCGTCAAAAGTATTGGCCCGTAGCAGGTCGTAGGGAAGCTAAAAAGGTAACGCGCAGTTGTGTTAAGTGTTTTCATTATAAACCGCGTACACCCGAAGTAAAGATGGCAGATTTGCCCGTGTCAAGAGTCAATGAAAGGTCAAGGGCGTTCGCTGTGTCCGGCGTTGACTATGCGGGACCTTTGCAACTCAGAGAAAGTAGGAGACGTGGAAGAGTTCATGTCTCAAAGGCTTACGTAGCAGTGTTTGTTTGCTTCCATACTAGAGCGGTACATCTGGAGCTTGTTACGGATCTAACCGCTGAAGCATTCATAGCGGCGTTAAAGCGTTTCGTCGCAAGAAGAGGTATTTGTTCACAGTTACATTCAGACAATGCCACAAACTTCGTAGGAGCAGTACGAGAGCTGCGCGAAGTATACGAATTTTTAGCGAAAGAAGAAAAGGTAATTGTTGCAGCGTTAGCAAGTGAAAAGATAGAGTGAAAGTTTATACCACCTAGAGCACCTCAATTTGGAGGGCTATGGGAGGTGGCAGTAAAATCAATGAAACGTCATCTGCTTACTGTATCCCGTGGTTTATCACTAACTTTCGAAGAGTATTACACTATGCTAGTAGAAATAGAAGCCGTGTTGAATTCGAGACCTCTAACACCCATTTCCGATGATCCAAAAGATTTATCCGCATTGACACCTTCACATTTCCTTATTGGGAACTCACAAGTAGAACCTGTTCAAAAAAATTATCTCCATGTACCCGATAATCATTTATCACGTTGGCAGCATCTGCAGAAGGTCCGCCAGCATTTTTGGCAACGCTGGAGCAAGGAATATTTGCAGACCCTGCAAACTCGCAGCAAGTGGTTCGCTGGCAATGCGAACATTGAGCCCGGCATGATGGTACTAGTCAAGGACGACAACTTAGCCCCATTACAATGGATGCTCGGAAGAGTGAGCGAGACTTTTCCCGGGGACGACGGAATTGTGCGAGTGGCCGCTATCAAGACCAATAAGGGAGAGTTCAAGCGACCCATAAGAATATTGTGTCCTTTACCAATAGAAATTTAAGTTGTTCAGACAAGTAATTATTCATAAGTTAACAAAGTTCCTGGCCAACAAGCCAAAGTTATTGTATTAGATTATAGTATCCAAACGCATTTTTTATGTTATCATATTAGTTTAAGAATCCATTTGTTACTTAATTGTATCGAAAAATCGTCATTGAAAGAAGGTCTTTCAAAGGGGGCGGCATGTCTGAGATTGAAGCTCCCTCTTTACCGAACGAGGATTGAGGTTCCGGTCTCGGCTATGTAGGTAGCGCGTGCGAGGAAGAAGAAAGGAAGATGACGAAGAAGTTTGTCACGTACACAACATCGTGCAAATAAAATCGATAAAAACAGCATACGAGTAATCATTTGTGACACAAATAAGCAGTAAATCCAACACAGAGAAACAGACGAGAAAGTCGTGAGAGAAACGAGAAAGCCAAAAGAGAGACGAGGGACAAGATTAAAAGAAGGGACAAGATTGAAATTTGCGAAGAAAAAGATGACGACGACGATATAGAAGACCAAAGAGACCATACAACATTGAAATTTTATGAAAAAAGCGAAGAAAAAGACAGCCACAACAACAGCGACGAAATTATAAATTATAGACGAAAGGGGACAAGATAGAATTGTCATATTTATCTATTTTAACATTTACATATTAATAATATTAACACATATAATAAATTTATAAATGTAAAAGTAAAGAAATACAGAATAAAATAAATAATAATGTCGCGTGTTACATTGTCAATTTGTGAAATTATATCACAGAGAGAAAGAGAGAGAGAGAGAGAGAGAGAGAGAGAGAGAGAGAGAGAGAAGAAAACGCGATCAGATCGTATCGCGGAGCGTAAACTCAGGCGAAGCCGTGGAATATACATGGACATGGGATCATGCTTTGGTGTGCGTTTGTTGTGTGCAGCAACGTGGCAACACTGTATCCATGTCACGTGGCCGGTGGCTCTATACGGTCGGCGCTCTCGGTGCCCGGCGTGCGAGTGGACATTCGCATTTCGCCATTAGTGCTCAGTGGATGTCTGTGAGTGATAATGTCGAACAAGACGCCCAGGCCGGTGAGAATTAAATGTAAGTATAATCGCGCGCGTGCGAGAAAGAGAGAAAGAGAGAGATTGATTGACTTTATTTGCAGTTCTAGGGCTGGCCCTCTAAAAACTATACAAGGTGTAGTACAGACAAGAGTAAAGTAGAAAGATACAAGAAGTATGTTACCGCAAAAGAAAATACAAGTAAAACTACATGCTAAAAGTAAAAAGTAAAAGGTGCGGAAAACGATTGATACAGAGAAGATAAAGCAAAAATAAAAATGATATACAAAATAAAATTGATGCAGAGATACAGTATAAGCGGTGAAAATGGTAGATGAGGGGTGCGATACAGTGCGATGCGAGAGTGTTAAATAGTACAATGCGATAGAGAATAGATGAGGGTGAGCGCGAGAAACGAACGTAACGAGAGGCGTGATAAAGATGAAAAGAGCGGGGTGAGTATCTAGGCTAAAATAGGGTACTCAAAGAAGGTACGCGGGGCCAGGCGGAGCTACGAAGCAGCACGATGGCGTCGAAAATAGCAGAAAAGCTTCCTCCGGAACCCGCCGACAGAGTCGGATTCACGGATGGAATCCGGTAAAGAGTTCCAGAGGGAGGCGGTCGTATACGCGAAAGAGTGCTGGAAGATGGAGATTCTGCAAGACGGAAGGGCCAGATCCAGAGGAGAGGTGTTACGAAAAGTGACGCGAGGACGGGCACGAGACTGGAAGTTGCAGGCCAGGTAGGGGGGTGATCCAGACTTGAGGATGGTGTAGAAGAGGCAACACGCGCGAAAAGCTCTACGGTCGTCCGCGGTCAGCCAATCCAATCTGTCATATATATGGGATACATGATCGTCTCTTCTAAGACCAAAAATGAAGCGTACGCCGGCGTTCATCAAGCGCTTTAGTTTGAGAGCCTGCTGTCCAGTTAAGTCGGTGAAGACGGCCGAGCAGTAGTCGAGGTAAGGGAAGACCTGGGAGGACACCAGCCGAGCGCGCAGCGGGATGGAGAGGCTGTTCCTATGGTGCTTCAGTCGCCAGAGGGCTCCATTGATTTTATGCGAGGTGAACCCGACCTGTTCAGTCCAGTTTAGGGTGCTGGAAAGAGTGATACCGAGGTTGTTCACGGAGTCGGAGAAGACGATGGGCGTGCCGTTGAGATAAAGCTCGATGTTATGATTTGCCCGGATATCGTTTATATAACGAGCGTTGCCCAGGAGTATCGTCCTGGTTTTGCTAGCATTGAGGGTGAGAGAATTGAGAGAGGCCCACTGCGCGATCACCGAGATGTCCTCGCCAATCTTCGCCAAGGCCACATCGAGATCTTTCGGGAAGAAGTGAATATAGACTTGGAGATCGTCTGCGTATAGGATGTGGTGACAATGCTTGGTAGAGTGTCTC